AAGGCTGGCCACGGAGGGAGCCTCCACGGGGAGGGTGTCTGGATGTCCCAGCACCATTTTTTTCTCACCTGTGGTGGTCCTTTGCTTTGAAGAGCTCTCGTTACATTCCTTCCAAGTACATTGTCAAAAAGTACTGTTTTTTAAATTATTTCCTTATTTAAAAGAATTTTTAGAGCTTTTAAAATATGGACAATATAAAATTTACCATTTTTAAGTGTACCAGTCAGTGGCATTAAGTACATTCACTTTGTTGTCCAACCATCACCACTATCCATCTCCAGAACTTGTTCCTCACCCCAGACTGAAACTCTGAACCATCAAACACTAATGCCCCATTGTCCTCTCCCCCTCGCCCTTGACAACCACCACTCTACTCTCTGTCTTTATGTAATTTGAATAGTCTAGGTACATCATTTTGGTGGAACTATGCAATATTTGCCCTTGTGGGTCTGGCTTATTGCATTTAGCATTATGTTTTGAAGGTTCATCCATGTTGTAGCATATGCCAGAGTTTCCTCTTTCTAAAGCTGAATATTCTGTTGCACGTATATTTGTTTATTCATTCATTTGCCAGTGTACCTTTGGATTGCTTCCACCTTTTGGCTATTGTGAGTAATGTTGTTGTGGAGATTGTACAATAACTATTGGAGTCCCTCCTTTATTTTTTCTCTTTAGGTGTATACCCGGAGTTGGAATTGAGGGATCGTAAGATATTCCATGTTTACATTTTTGAGTAACCGCTCTACGGTCTCTCATAGCAGCTGCGCCATTTTACATTCCCACCAGCAAAACATAAAGGTTTCGATTTCTTACATCCTTGCTGACACTTATTGTTTTCTGTTTTTTAGAATTTTATTTTAAATAACAACCATCCTAATGGGTGTGTTATCTCACTGTGAAGCACTGCTTTTTGATAGCTGGTCATTGACTTGACTCTGGTGCGTTTAAACATCCTTTCACTGAAGAATCAGGGATAGAGCAAACATAAGTAAACAATATTTGGAGTCCAGAAAACCTAGCTATGTCAGTGTGGTCGACTTGAGATTCCATGCCTCAATATGCCTAGAATTTTTTGAAGTCCAGACCAAGAAAAGCAAGATCCAGCAAAAGGCAGGAGTTAATTAACCTTTTGACATTTCTGTGGTGGGGACCCCAGCCCCACCGTGGGAATGGCCTCATTTTGTGGCTGCAACAGGACATCTGTGTTGGGATATGAGACAGCACAGCATCCTGGCACGCATGCAATGGGGTAGCTGAATAGAGCCTTTTTCTATTACATAACTCCTTTGCCCGAATTCCACATTCACCAGCTACTCTTCTGATCTTAAATTTTATTTCCTAGACCGTGTAAAATATGCTCTGATCCACTTGGGCATTTTGTTCCTTATTATAATTCAACAAATTGATGGTCTGGTTGTAAATCGTTCTGCTATGCTTGGTCAGTCTGACTCAGTTCATGAGAGCTTCCTCACATAGGGCTCTGTGAAAACCCAGCTTCCTAAATCTGCAGGGCTGGGCTGAGGTGTGGCCACTGGGGGCAGTGGGCCTGCCACCCCCACACCCCTCTCAGAGTCACGCCTCATCTAGTCTCAGGAAATCCTTTCCCCCACAGAGGTTTTACAGTGTGTTTTCTTCCCTGTGCGGGCAACTGAAGCCTCTGACAGAATGGGAGAACTCTGCCTCAGGTTCAGGGCTGGGAAAGAGAGTGAAAGAAGATAACTTTGTGGCTTCTCCACATGATAAGAAATTGATTCAATAAGTATTTATTGCTCGTGTGCTGGGAGCCAGGCCTTGTGTGGATTGCTGGAAGTACTGCAGTGAAGAGCAGGGAGGCCCTGCCCTGATGGTGCTTATGGGAAAGAGTCAGGAGGACAGAGGAGGCCACTAGAGGATTGGTCTGTGCAGTCCTAGCATAGCCTGTACTATGGGGTGTATTGCAAAGATCTGTTACTGTCTGCAAACATCTCCAGAGGCTCAAGGGACAGTCATTGTGTTCCAGTCCCTGGTTGTTCATGCAGTAATCATTGGCTGGACTGAGCCATAGTGGGACAGAGCCGGGAAACACTAACTTTTAAAATTACTTTCTGGCCTATTGACTACTATATAGGTACGCAGGGCATTATTGGAGGAGGCGAGTTTAGGAGTCTCAACCCCTTACTCGTTTTCTTGCACAATTGGTGGAGGAAGGAGTCCCACTCATTAATTGTCTCTCCATTTCAGGTGTTGGATGAATATCTAGCTCCATGAAATATTAAGTCCTTTGTCTGGTTTTGGAAATTGTCCTTCTATTGCTATTGATTCTGATTTTAAGACAGAGAAATTCTTCAGGCTTGAGAACACTTCGTGTTCCACATTTAGCTCCTAGAAACAAGTAGCTGCTGTGCAGTGAAGTGGGAATAGACAGGAACACGCACCCACAATTTCTTGGCCAGCTGTCAGTCACTATGTTTTTGAGGTCTGCTGGGTAACCGAGTGCCTTCTCGGATATACCAGGGAATGGCATGAAAAAGTTGATAGTGTAGAGCAAGCATGTCAAACTCGCGGCTTGCAGGCCGTAGGCCTCACTTAAATGACATGCTTGGTGTAGAGAAATTTGGGAAGTATGTCCATTTGCAAGGGGAGAAGGAACCCAGTGTGTTAGTAGCCAGAGTGTCAGACCTCAAAAGTAAGATGCATGCTCAAGTCAAAGATGGTTGTCAGGAGGAGGAGGAGACTCTAGGGCCCAGATGCCTGCCCTCTTTACTTGGAGGAAGTGAAAATGCACACCCGTGAAAGGAGTTTCTGACTTAAAATGGATTCACAGGAAAGGGATCTGCAAGCTTGAGAACTGAAGTGACAAGAGCAAGTAGAAGGTGGTGGCTCACAGGGAATCTGGAAAAAGAAGTGAGCTGGGGAAGAGGATCGCGTCAGCATTTTTAAAGCCGGCCCTGAGAGGAGATCGCAAAGGCTCTGATGTTAGAGGCTCGGGCACAGTTCTTTGCTGGGATGCGTTGCCTTATAGACATGCTTTAGGGGTATCCAGCTGGCTCTGAGCTAACCATTTGCCCAACTCAGAACCTCCAAGCCTCTCATTTGGTCTTTGTGTGACTCTACCCACTTAGGTAGAGGTAAACTGGGTGTACCGTCAGTTCTGATTTGGGTGCCTGGTCACAGCTCCATGCGATGAGGGAATTAAGCTCCCAAAGCTGTGACTCTGAAGTTCCAACCTTGGCCTTCTCAGCCACTAGAGTGTGGCCTGGTGAGTCGTTACCTTTGGTTTCTCAGATGCCTTTGTGGGAGAGAGATTGGGTGATGGGTCATGAGGGTGACATCTCTGTGTTGTGCTAGGGACTGTTGTTCTTAAGAATATGAGGAAGAAAGACATAAGAACAGGTAACTCATGAGACTTTTATGGCTCAGGCCAGAACAGAGGTTGGTGTCCTAGGTGGCATGCCTCCTTTTGGAGTTTGTGAATGGAAGACAAAGAAGATAGAATCGCACTGCAATAGAGAATTTTGTTCTGAAATTTGAATAGGTCATTAGGTCTTCTTCCTCTGTACGGGCTGGTCACCATGGGTATTTGGATCTGTGGCATTGGCTGGGAGCTTCTGGGGTGCCTTTCTGGGTGCTCTTTCTGTCTGTGCTGGGGTGTGTGTGTCTGTTCTGGGGGGTGTGTGTGCGCGTGCACACACATGCTCATTTTTCAGGGGTTATAGGCATCTTTTGGATTTTTCTTTAATGTGCTAGTCCTGTTCCTGAGTTGGCAATCACTGGGAAAACTCAGCTGCTGGTGTTTACTCCTTACAATGGAAATAAAGGTTGTCTAATTCCAAGGCAACGGCCTGATTGGTGTGTGTACCCATCATAACCCACCAAGGATATTGATGAAGAGCCTTTATTCACCCCATAGAAGGTTGCATGTCCCAGAACATCACACTAAATTGGGGAGATGGAGAGCATTGCTTGACCTGTGTCTTTAAGAAGCTGCGTGCCCAGGAGTGCTGTGGGAACCTAGGTTGGAGGAGGAAAGACTGGATAGTCAGAAGAGGGATGGAAGTGTTGGGGCCATGCATGGTAGAAGGGGTGATGTTAACATAGCCACGAAAGGTGTCTGGGGCCTGCTAATCATGTTCTTTCTTCCTGGATTTGAGATATATTTGTATCCCTCTCCTTCCCAGAAGTTGGCCTAAACTACCCCATGTACAGGTAGACTTCCTTTTCAGGTGTGGCTTTGAGGTGAGGTGGTAACTTTTCATTATTGCTGGCAAGGTTGCTTTTAGCAGCTCAGAAGAACAATTAATCTCTTATTGCTGCTCCAGGAAGCTTGGTTAGGATGTTTCCTCTTGAAGAAGTTATTTTTAATGATGCTGACATCATGGATCCAACATTATGAAAATATGGGAGAAGCAGAGGCGCAGAGGGCTCCTTCAAGTGCTGCGTTTCCTGTTTGCTGTGTTCAGAGAGAGCAGCTGCCTGCCTCTCAGCACCCCCAGGCACGAGCGAGCTGGTGCCAGAGGACCTTTCCCTCACCGCCTGCTGTGAGCCAGATGTTCCTGGTGAGAATAGCAGTCTCTGGGGCTGCTACCCAGAAAGGCTGGCAGCTTCCGAATGGTGACACAGTGAGTTTATGTTTCTGCAAAGCTCAGAAAGGCAGCCTTGTTTTCGATAACGGATGCTATACAAAATCTGTCCTGGCTAAGCCACCTGCTTGCTGTGTGTCATTGTGTTGTTGACCGCCCAAGCTGATCACTCGTGGATGAAAAAAATAATGAAAAAAATAATGCCTCGTGGACTTTTGCAAGGGTGCAAGGTGACTGCTTTAAAGGAGGGGCCAGAGGTCTGTCCTCCAAACCTTTGTCTCTGGGATTCAAGAACTGAGAAGGAAAAACAGTGGAAACAAAACCCCCTGCTTTTATGCGAAGGCTGCCGAAATGGTGGCTGCTGAGGAGGGGTTGTCTAGCATTTCATTCCCTGAAGAGCCTCTGATACTGTTATTCGCCCAGAACCTTTGGCTCTGTTATTCACTCACTCTTGTCTCCAGGTATGTTTGTCAGCGCAAAGATCAGCCTTTCCACTTTCAGGGTCTTTGCAGATGTGACTTTCATTATGTTTGGTCTCTCCCCATCCCTAAATGGTTCATTAGATAAGCAGGGGTGGTGTAAGGAGGAGAAAAAGGAGGATTTAAGAAACATTTTCTCTATGGTAGGTAAGTGGTTGATATTTCTTGGGTCTGTCTCTTTCACGGCTATTGTTTATGCTGGCCCTTGATCAGCCCAATGAGGGGGTGTCAGTGTTTCTTTCTGTCCCAAGAGAGTGACAGGAAAACCACAGCTGTGGCCAGCAATGTGTGCAGATGTGGAGAACAGTATAGCTAGGGGCCAGCAGCTGAGACAGAACACGGAAAACACTATCCTGGCTTTATTTTCATTGTTTTATGCACTTTTGCTGTTTTTCTATTAACAGTCTTGACACTAGATGAAGCCTGGTGCTTTCCTCTGCTCAGCTTATTACATTGTCTGTAATACTGATTTCCAATAAAAATGATATGTTCAAGCCAGACTTCATCTTATTTCCCTTCTGTAAACAGAGAGATTATTACCATCTTTTTGATGGATGGAGCAGCATGAATTCCAGGATGTACATGTTTCTCATGATAACTTTCAAGCAAACTAAACAAATGTCTTCTGAGTTATTTTTATTGTAATTTTATTCATTTGTCCAGAACACATAGGTCAATTAACTACGTGGTGAACTTGGTAGAATTGGCTGACAGGGGAGTGGCTGGTGTCTGAAGAACAAGCCTAGGTTTTTCTGTCCCAAACTAACATTGCTTAGCTAATAATAATAATAGTCCCGGCTACTATTGATTGATCTTACCTGGATCCTGGCGAGTGACATTTTATGCAATATCACATTTAAACTTTAACAGCAATCCCGTGAAGTAGGTACTGATGCCATCTTCGTTTTCCTGATGGAAAAACTGAGGCTCAGATCTTTCTTTTTCCTTTTTCATTGCTCTAGGTTGGCAAACTCTTTCTATAGAAGAACAGAAAGTAAATATTTTAGCCTTTGGGCCACACTATCTCTGTGACAACTCCTCAGCTCTGTTATTGTAATACTACAGAAGCCTTAAAAAATGCAAAACCAAACGAAGGTGGCTGTGTTCCAAATAAAACTTAATTTCTGACACTGATATTTGGATTTCATGTACTTTCCTCATGTCACATAATATTACCATTCTTTTGACTTTTCTAACCATTAAAAATGTAAAAATCATTCTTTACTTGCAGTCAGTACAGGAGCCAGTGGTTGGCAAGATTTGCTGATCCCTGATGTAGATGATGAGAAGAGAAGGAAGAATGGGTTGGGATGTGGTAGTAGGAAGGACACTCCTTTCAGAGGGAACAGCAATGTGTGCAAGTAGCAGAGAGCATGAAGTGTTTGAGGAAATGCAATCAATGCAAGTACAGTTTGATTGGGTGTGTGGTATGATTGGAGGAGACATCCAGGCCCAAGTTATGGCCTTGTAGGACATTTTAATGATTTTGGACTTTATCTTTAGATCAGTGAGAAGACATTAAAAGAATTAGGCAAAGGAGTCGAAACCGGTTTGGCTCAGTGGATAGAGCGTCGGCCTGCGGACTGAAGGGTCCCAGGTTCGATTCCGGTCGGGGGCATGTGCCTGGGTTGCGGGCACATCCCCAGTAGATGTGCAGGAGGCGGCTGATCGATGTTCCTCTCTCATCGATGTTTCTAACTCTCTGTCTCTCTCCCTTCCTCTCTGTAAAAAATCAATAAAATAAAAAAAAAAAAAGAATTAGGCAAAGGAATGAAAAGAGCAATTTTTTTTAAAAAAGATCATTGGCTGATGTGTGGAGAAAGGATTACAGTGGGTTAGTAACAGTAGAAGCAAAAAAACCAGCTGGGTGATCATGGTAGCTATTAGTGAATGTAGTCAGACCGTATCCTGACAACAGCATCTTCGGGCAGCGAGGGTGAGCAGGTTTACAGAGAAGGAAAATGTGGCTGGGAGAGACGAGTGTCTTGCCTGGCCACATAGCAAATGGAAGTAGAGCAAAGATGAAGACCTTGGTCTTTCGGTGACTTTTTCCCTGTATGGTGTGAAATTCTTAACATTCTACAATTAAAATTACGTTTATCTTAATCTGTCATTTATCTCTGACCCTCCAACTGAAGAGCTAGCTACTCCTCTCTGTCTCTCATAAAATTCTCATGAATGAGGATAGTGCCTCTTAGGTTTGAGTCATTAATTTTCATTTTCTGAGGAAATTAGTTTTTTGTTGTTGAGGGAAATAACCCCTTGTTCAAATAAGAGAAAGGCTGAAGATGATACTGTGGGGATGGCTTTGTTATTTTTGTGCTGGCATTTGTCAGGGAGCTGAGTACTTCTTTAAAGGCCAGCTTTTCTTAAAATTTGCATAGCTTTCTTTTCCAAGTGAGAATTGGCTGCTCTCTTCTACCTTTGGAGGAATAATTCGTCTGACTGGGCCTGAGTCACACCAGTTCTGACACAGGCATATACATAACTCTGGCTCAGAGCACTCCATCTTTTGAACAATATGATCAGCAGAAAGGATTTATTCAGGAAAAAGAAAGGCTTGCAAACCAGTGCATGCAGACTGAGCAAGTCATGCGCAAGTTCTGGCCTGTGGCAATATGAAAGGTATTTAAAGGAGGGAAAGGGAGTAAAGGGAATGGAAATTAGAACCATAGAGCTTTACTACAAACACAGAGTTCTCCCTTGTAGGGCTCTCACAATGCTTCCATAAGCCCTAGCTCCTCGCATAGAACCTCCCGACATGTTTGCTTAAAGTGCCAGTTATTCTTTATCACCCACAGTGGACAGTGTCTTGCACACAGCAGATGTTCAGTATTTAATACTGGCTCTGTTGACCTGTCACCTTTGGCATCCATGCTGCACAATGCAACCTCTTCTCTCCAAAATGTCAGAATTTTCTAAGCTGAAGTCTTCAGAAAGAAGACATTTGGGATATCCCCCAAACAGGACAAATTTTAGGAGGATCATCCATTGAGGATCTTCTCCCTTTATGCAACTTATGTTGTCCACTTCTCTTTTCTTCACCCCTTTTGACTAGACTTAGGTTGCATGTCTTTATTGTTGTATAGTAGATGCTCAGTAGAGATATGCTGAGTTAGTTCACTCCTGATGCTGATTTTATTTATTCTCTGTAGGCTCTTTTTTTGTTGTTAATCCTCACCCGAGGATATTTTTTCCATTGATCTTTTAGAGCAGTGGTTCTCACCCTTTCTAATTTCGCTACCCTTTAATACAGTTCCTCATGTTGTGGTGACCCCCAATTTCATTGTTACAAATTGAACATAATTAAAGCATAGTGATTAATCACAAAACAATATGTAATTATATATGTGTTTTCCGATGGTCTTAGGTAACCCCTGTGAAAGGGTCTTTCGACCCCCTCAAAGGGGTCGCGACCCACAGGTTGAGAACCGCTGTTTTAGAGAGAGTAGAAGAGAGACGGAAAGAGAGAGAAACATCTATGTGAGAGAAACACATCGATTGGTTGCCTTCTACACATGCCCTGAGCAGGGCCCAGTCAGGGAAGAGCCTGCAACCAAGGTACAAGCCCTTGATTGGAATCAAACTCAGGACCCTTTGGTCCACAGGCCTACACTCTATCCACTGAGCCAAACCGGCTGGGGCTCTATAGGTTCTTTACATATTCACTCAGGTATAGGTGATGAGGCTGAAGTTGCAAGCTCAGAGGTATTTTTTTTTATTAATTAAATCTTTATTGTTCAGATTATTACATTTGTTCCTCTTTTTTCTCCCCATAACTCCCTTCCACCCAGTTCCCACCCCACCCTCCTCCCTCACTCCCCATCCACTGTCCTCATCCATAGGTGCACGATTTTTGTACAGTCTCTTCCCGCATCCCCCTCACCCCTTTCCCCCCAAGAATAGCCAGTCCACTCCCTTTCTATGCCCCTGATTCTATTATAATCACCAGTTCATTCTGTTCATCAGATTATTCTCTTGATTTTCAGATTCACTTGTTGATAGATGTGTATTTATTGTTCATAATTTGTATCTTTACCTTTTTCTTCTTCTTCCTCTTCTTAAAGGATACCTTTCAGCATTTCATATAATGCTGGTTTGGTGGTGATGAACTCCTTTAGCTTTTTCTTATCTGTGAAGCTCTTTATCTGACCTTCAATTCTGAATGATAGCTTTGCTGGATAAAGTAATCTTGGTTGTAGGTTCTTGGCATTCATCACTTTGAATATTTCTTGCCACTCCCTTCTGGCCTGCAAAGTTTCTGTTGAGAAATCAGCTGACATTCATATGGGTACTCCCTTGTAGGTAACTGACTGTCTTTCTCTTGCTGCTTTTAAGATTCTCTCTTTGTCTTTTGCTCTTGGCATTTTAATGATGATGTGTCTTGGTGTGGTCCTCTTTGGATTCCTTTTGTTTGGGGTTCTCTGTGCTTCCTGGACTTGTAAGTCTATTTCTTTCACCAGGTAGGGGAAGTTTTCTGTCATTATTTCTTCAAATAGGTTTTCAATATCTTGCTCTCTCTCTTCTTCTGGCACTCCTATAATTCTGATGTTGGTACGCTTGAAGCTGTCCCAGAGGCTCCTTACACTATCTTCATATTTTTGGATTCGTTTTTCATTTTGCTTTTCTGGTTGGGTGTTTTTTGCTTCTTCATATTTCAAATCTTTGACTTGATTCATGCAATCCTCTTGTCTGCTGTTGGGAGTCTGTATAATATTCTTTATTTCAGTCAGTGTATGCTTAATTTCTAGTTGGTCCTTTATCACAACATCGAGGGTCTCATTAGATTTCTTGTAGATCTCATTAAGTTTATCGGCAGTTTCTAGAAAATTCTTGAAAAACCTTAAAAGTGTGGTTTTGAACTCTATATCCAGTCGTTTGCTTTCCTCCATTTCTCATTTGTGTCCTTTTTCTTTGTCTCCACATTTTTTATGCTACCCTGTGTTGATAAAGTGGTTTTCTGTGCTGAGTGTCCTCTAGGGCCCAGTGGTTCAGCCTCCTCAATTACCTGAGGAGGACACTCTTGGTGCACCCCCTTGTGGTCTTTGTGCACAGTCTTGTTGTAGTTAAGCCTTGATTGTTGTAGTTATCACTGGGAGGAATTGACCTCCAGGCCAATTGGCTGTGAGAATCAGCTATGTCTGCAGTGGGAGAACTTCTGTGCTGGAGACACCCCTCTGGGGCAAGACTTGCTTCAATGGGGCTTTGGTGCTCACCGAGTCTGCCCCCTGAGTGTGTCCTTTATGGTTCCATGGAGCTGCAAACTGGATGATCCCACTCTGACCTCTGGGTTTCCTGGCTCCTGGATCACAAGCTCAGAGGTATTGATGTACTCTCTCTCTCCTTCCTTTTGTTCTTTCATCAGTTATTGAAAGTTGATTATGTGCCAGGTATTAGGGTAAGTTATGCAGAGTGGGGGTCAACAACAAAAAAAGACATGGTTTCTGATATCAAATACATTCCAGTCTAGTGGAGAGAGAACAGGAAATAATGGCCACTTTGTATGAGGTGTGGGCAGCCATGAGGGCCTCTCCCTGACCTAGTGGGTAGGACCTCCCCGAGGGATTTTCTTGCTGAAGTATCAAAGGTGGTCAAGAGCAATCGGAGTCCCTGAGCAGCTGTGGGTGAATTAACAGGTTCTGCACTTGCCTTTCTCCATGTGTGCACAGTGGAGATGTCTGCCCAGAGGTCAATTTCTAACAGAACATCTCAGCAGTCTGCATCTAACGCTGACTACTCCTGGGAATATGAGTATTATGAGATTGGACCAGTTTCCTTTGAAGGACTGAAGGCTCATAAATGTAAGTCGTTTACAATTCTCCATTGTAAGCATGATATGTATTTGTCTTAACCTGTGAAATCCCCAGTGATTACTTTTCCTGAACATTCTATTTTTTTGCAGAACTCTGTCCTCTACCCCACAAAGTCCCAGAAAACACCCCCTTTAAACACCCTGATTGCTTATGGATGGTATTACATGTGGGCCTTGATGATTCTGAGTGACAAGGAATTGAAAGATGGGGAAACATCAATCAATGTCAGTATTAAGCTGAGACATTGCATTAAAGCTCTAACAATTCCAGCTCTCCCAATCTGTGTAAACATTTGGACCTTCAAATGTTGTATAAATGCGACAAAAGTAGAATCTGGAACTATTAATTCTGAAGAACCTTGTTATGTAACACATGGTCATCGACATCTTTCAGTCCATTAGTTTTCTGGAACTGGAGCTAGGAGAGCATTCTCTGTGTATGTTCATGATGATGGGCAAGAATAGCCTGTGATCATTCCTAACTCTGTGTTATTTGATTCATGTGTCATGTTATTGGACTGATTAATGATCCAGCACAGAGAGCACAGAGCAAGGAAATATAATTATGTGAGAGGTTACTGTCCAATTCCAGTCATAACTGAAAGCTGACTGTCCTGTGTGAAGCATCTGTGTTTTCTTAAGTAGAGTTTACATAACAAGCAGGAACTGCTGCCCACTCCCAGGTCCTGTCCTGATTACCCCATAAATAGTCCAGAGATGTGTGCTTGTTTCAGAATGAATATCTATTTGCAGCACCACCAACATTTTAGGTTTGTAACTGGCTCAGATTAATGGGACACATTAGGAAATATAAGACAGATTAGAACTGGGGATATAGATGTGGCAAAGGAAAAGCATTTGCTCGTTTAGTATTTCCTGGCCACTCCCATGCTGACCTTGGCATTCATCATCCCTCACACTGATTTGCTATTCCTTGCAAGGTCAACTTGAGGGGAAATTATTTTATTATGATGCACACCATTTAGAACTCCACTGGCCATGTGCTCTACCCTTTACTGTAATGCTCTCTTAGAAGCTCCGTCTCTTGACAGGACAGGAGCTGCTGCTCAAAGCCACTCTGGAAGGCTTCCCTTGGTTTCCTGAACCATGGCACTCTTCAGAACCTCACTCTGTTTGAACCTCTATGCTGACTTCCTCCCAAGAAAGGGTATTTCCATGAAGACCAGGAGCTGTGTGTCCCCCAGTTTACCACGGTGCCCATGCCCATGAAACTTCACATATAAATATAATTTCAGGAGAGCTTGATGTTCCTAGGGTACAATGGGATTCTCCATTCATCCCTGAAAGGGTGAGAATATACCTTGGGGTTGGACCACACGGCAGAGGATGCAGTAGAGAAGAAATAAAGGTAATAATTTAAGGAAGTAGAATTTTGTTTGAGGGGAATGTAAATAAGCAAAACTGCATAAATAAGCGAGGAAAAAGGAAACATTCTGATGAGAAACAGGTGCCGCATTATCAAGGAAACATTTGGAAATGCTGTTGAATCACAGAGATTCTGAAATTCTAACCACAGAACCTCCCGGCTCTGCCCCCCTAAGACTCCTCCTTTGCTGGGACCCTCCCATGCCCACATTATTGCTGCTTTTTGATCAGGGCTCTGGGGCCCTAGAAGGGCAGAGGGAAGGGTCTGGGCTGCGTGAACGCACCCTCTCCCACCTCTGCCCACCTTGGGTTTGGGAAGCAGAGGACCGATGGGATGCAGCTCCCATTGCAGGAAAGCCCCCCCCTGAGAACCCCTTCCTCATACACAGATTTTATAAGTGAAGCCATGAGACTAGATTCACCTCTCAGCTGAATGTGATGCTGGTGTGTGTCGTCGTAGAATTTGCTCTGGTTCTGCAGGCAGCGGATGAAGTGCGGTGTGCTGTCACTTATTTGTACAGTGGTGTTGCACAGTCTGTGTCCCCATCATTGAGTTGTTATTGTTACCTGTCAGTTGCACTTACTTACATGTGTTTTTTGGGACTTGTCCTTGTGTCTTTTTTAGGCCTCATTTCCATTATAAGGCAAAGTGTACAATTTCTGTTTCCTTGGCCCGCTTAACCCCAGGAGAGATACATGGGTTTTGCATCCAGAATGCTGACTATTCATCACATTGTTGAATAATAGCTGTTAACTTAGGCAGGAGTATATGTAGAATGAAAGTATAATTAAACAGGGTAAACTGCTGATCTGCTTTCTTTGCTTTAGAAAAGATGGATTAGAATTTAATTAGAACAAGTAAAATAATTCAGCTTAGTTGTCTCCTCCAGATTTGAGACCCTAGTGTATTTGTGCCAGGGTCTGTAGACAGTCCAGTCTCATCCCTGTCCTAGGGACATACACTTGTGACTATCTCCCAAGACAGGGTCAAGGAAGGGCCCATGTAGCGAAGCACAGACAAAAATGCCGCGGGGTTCAAGGACTGGAGAGAGCTATCAGCTGGGGAAATTCGCCCAGGCTTGGTGAAGGAGATGGTGTAAGGCACGGCTTTAAGGGTGGATGGACTTGTATCAGCTCTAGGTTGGGGACAGTTGTTGTAGCCAGGTAAAGGTAAGAGCCCCTGAAAAGGCATGGGGATTAGGAATTTGTGGCTAAGGTTAAGGTAAATACAGGGACACAATGTTCCCTAATCTGATGTGAAACATGGGTTTTAAGGTAGGGGTAGGCTGGGAGAAAATAATTTAACAATAATAGCTGGCAAATGTAGATTATCTTTTTCCCAGATGCCAGGCATTGTATAACGTGCTTTATGTATGGAAACTTTTTTAACCTGGAGAAGGTTGCGTCTATCTGTGCCATGCCAGCACAGCCAAGGGGTTTGGTGAGCCTGAGGAGGGGCGGCAAAGGATGTAGAAAAGACAGACAAAGAGAATAAGCTGGGTCTAGGTCAGTGATGGCGAACCTATGACACGCGTGTCAGAGGTGACACGCGAACTCAGTTTTTGGTTGATTTTTCTTTGTTCAATGGCATTTAAATATATAAAATAAATATCAAAAATATGTTTTTGTTTTACTATGGTTGCAAATATCAAAAAATTTCTATATGTGACACGGCACCAGAGTTAAGTTAGGGTTTTTTAAAATGCTGACACTCCGAGCTCAAAGGTTCACCCTCACTGGTCTAGGTGCATCTTCCTGTGCCTGGCTGAGGCCACAGAAAGAGACTCAGACAGAAACCTGAGCCTTTATTTTATAGCCAGAGGTAAACAAGGTAGTGGTCACCATAGCTACAATGTTCTTGTGAGTTTCACTTGTTTTGGCAGCACTTGCTGCATCTCCCTCAGCCCATTAGCTACCCAGATAGGATCTAGGGAGAGTCATAAGGTCAAGCCTAGTTATGCTAAGAGGGCTGTGCCCTCTAAACTGGGACTTGTTTGTGGCTTTGCCAATAGGTCAGTCTGAGGCTTAACCCTGTAGCCACTCCCTACACTATCTTTGTTGAAGAGTTTTTCATAAGAGAGCAATATTATCAGAGCTGGGATAAAGCAGGTTCACACTGAGCTGCACAAGGAAAAATAGAAGAGAACACAGGAGGCCATTTGCATGTTCTCAGCAAGAGACAATGAGGACCTCAACTATTCCAGCATGAACAGCAGTGAAAAAAAATGGGTTGGTTTGAATCAGAATTCACTTAAAACTGTATATTGCGGTTTCTGCTAAAAATGGCATTTTCTAACTCAAGATACTTCAATGGAATCTTGGGGTCCTAGATGGCCCATGTTCTGTCCTCAGTTCCTTTACTGGGAAATGGAACCCAGCGGTCAATAAGACAGAAGTCTCTCAGTGTTACCTGAGATGGGAACATGGAGGTGACCCAGACTCTTCTCTCTGTCTCATCCCTGCATCTTACCTGTCCCCAGTTGATGGATGGGTCAGGGTTGTCCCATAGATTGTTGATGTACCAACAATCATTTCATGCACCAAAAAGTTCAGATTTCTTGAATGCTCCAGTTTTCAGCTCCTGTGAAATGCTAATCCCAGTATTCACTGTCTTGCAGATTCTATTGTGATTGGATTTTGGGTTGGTCTCGCAGTCTTCGTGATTTTCATGTTTTTTGTGCTGACTTTGCTGACCAAGACAGGAGCCCCACACCAAGAGTAAGTTTGGGCTGTTCCTAAATATCTATAGAGCTCCACAGGGAACTGAAGAAACAGAAATAGTATCCAGGGCTGGGGTTACTTCCCGGGGTGTGGAGAGAAGGGCTTGGTTATGGATAACTGCCTGCGTCTAGGCACCTGTGGGTGGGATCTGCCTTCCTCCTGGTCTCTGGCCTCTGGGACTTGTTTTCAAGTGGATCCTTGTGAACCTGGGTTTCTTGGTTCATTCTTACAGTTTAATGCTGATGCAGGCCTGATTTTTATGTTGAAGTGCTTATTAATTAGGATGTGTTCTCTGCTTAGTCCCAAGAGAATTTAGATGACTCGCCAGATTAAAAACACTGAACAAGGACAACGACTACTAAGTAGGATGAAAACTAGTTTTTAAAAACATGTCAAGAAGTAGAGAAATAATTTTTACTGACTATTCTATTGAATTTATCATTGCCAATAAACACTGAGTTTAATGCTGAGTTTCCTTGGATCTAGTATTAAAAAAGGAAATAGTAAAGATTATGTGTTATTCATAGCAGGACAAAGAATATTTGTGTTGGGCTTTGGATTTACGGAGAAAATTATTACGTGGTTGCTTAAAGAATACTGAGCAACATTAGAAGGAATTTGTTCAGTTATGGTTTTCAAAAACTCAGAAATGTTTTGGAGAATTTTTTTCCCCAACTTTTTTTAAAAAGGGAAATAAAACATATGTTGAATACTGTTTTAGTTGGCTCCAGCAGACACAGTAGCATACTAAAATTAGGTAATTAGAAGAGCGTTTAATGAAGGGGCTATTCATAAGTTGTGGCTAGGGAGAAGGACAACCCCACAGGGTAGTGCATCATTGTAAGTTGATGGTCTAGTTCAGTGATGGCGAACCTTTTGAGCTCGGCGTGTCAGCATTTTGAAAAACCCTAACTTAACTCTGGTGCCGTGTCACATATAGAAATTTTTTGATATTTGCAACCATAGTAAAACAAAAACATATTTTTGATATTTATTTTATATATTTAAATGCCATTTAACAAAGAAAAATCAACCAAAAAAATGAGTTCGTGTGTCACCTCTGACATTTGTGTCATAGGTTCGCCATCCTGGTCTAGTTTCATTTTTTTGCATGTATCTGTTCAATTTTCCCAGCACCATTTATTAAAGAGACTATCTTTATTCTATTGTGTGCCCTTGCCTCTTTTGTCAAATAGTATTTGACCATAATGGTGTGGGTTGATTTCTGTTCTATATACCTATTCTTGTGCCAGTACCAGGCTTTTTTATTATTATTATTATAATGACTTTGTAGTATAGTTTGATATCCAGTATTATGATCCCTCCAACTTTATTCTTTTATTCTTGGTGAGGCTATTTGTGGTCTTTTTTTGGTTCCATATAAATTTTTAGAATATTTATTCTAGATCTGTGAAATATGCCATTGGTATTTTAATAGGGATTGAATTGGATCTATAGATTGCTTTGGGTAGTACGGACATTTTAATGATATTAATTCTTCCAACCCATGAACATGGTGTATTCTTCCTCTTGCTTGTATCTTCCTCTACCTCTTTTTTCAATGTCCTGTAGTTTTCCAAGTATAGGTCTTTTACCTCCTTGGTTAAGTTTATTCCTTGGTATCTTATTTTTTTGTTGCAATGGTAAATGGGATTGTGTGTTGTTGTTTAAGTTTCTCTTTCTTAGAGTTCATTATTGGTGTATAATTACCATATTCTTATTACCATTTCACTATACAGTCTCCAGTATCTGTTGTTCAGTCTTCAGCCTACACTTGAACTATAACAAATGTCTGGGTAAAGGGAGCAGCTCTGTCCATACTCAGCTATGTCCAGACATCAGGATCTGGAAAAAAAACGCATTTTACATGAAAGGATAATACCATTTTATTGAAGCATAGGGAGCTATATGGTTGAGAATCTCATTAATAGACACTTAAAAAGACACAAACTTCCCCCTTTCTCTGTCCATGTCCTTATGGACATCTGCACATACCTTTTCTTATATTATATTGGTCCATGAACTTGGAAATATGATGTGGATTGCAACAGTAGTAAGAGAAGTCGAGTTCAAACTCAGATTAGGGCACATCTCATAGAGTGGTCAGGGAATAATAACACCTTAGTGGGACAGATGGATTCTTATGATGTACTTACTGAGATGGATTTGTCTGATGTGGGATGCAGGTGATTGTACAGATGGGCACCCTACCTCAAAGTATAGCATGACTTCCTGTGATGGTTAATTTTATGGGTCAACTTGGCCAGGCCATGGTACTCAGATATTTGGTCAAACATTATCCCTGATGTTTCTGTGAAGATCTTGTGTGTATGTGTGTGTGTGTTTAAATGCAATGAACATTTAAGTCAGTATTCTTTGAGTAAAGCAGAACATCCCTATTATATGGGTAGTTTTCATTTAATCAGTAGAAGGCCTTTCTAAAAACAGATTAACCTGCCTCAAGCTAAAAGGAATACTGCAGACTGCTTCACACTCGAACTGCAACTCTGCCCTGGGTTTGCAGCCTGCCAGTCTACCTGCAGATTTTGGACTTGCCAGTCTCCACAATCACATGGACCAATTTCTTAAAATAAATCTGTATCCCTCTCTATATATACGATAGAAAGATGATAGATAGATAGATAGATAGATAGATAGATAGATAGATAGATAGGAAGGAAGGAAAAAATGAAAGAAAGAAAGAAAGAAAGAAAGAAAGAAAGAAAGAAAGAAAGAAAGAAAGAGAAGAAAGAAAGAAAGAAAGGAAGAAAGAAGAAAGAAAGAAAGAAAGAAAGAAAGAGAAAGAAAGAAGAAAGAAAGAGGAGGGAGGAAGGAAGGAAGGAAGGAAGGAAGGAAGGAAGGAAGGAAGGAAGAGGAGAGAAAGAAAAACAGGTGATACACAACACACACACACACACACACACACACACACACACACACGGATCCTGTTTACTGTTTCTCTGGAGAATCTGACTAGTACATTTCCTTAACGTGTCATGTTGACCCTGGATAGCTGAGACTTGCATTTCTAGTCTTCTAATTGGCAGTTCATTCAGTTCAACTTGCAAATGGTTTCTCATTTGATGGCGTTTCTGAATAATCTCAATCAAAGAACAGGGGTCATTGTAACTCCACATGCTTTCAATGAGGTTAAGGAGAACGTCTTACCTTTTTGTTTTACTTTTAATAAAGTGTGTCTCAGAGGGCTAATCTATTATTTTAAGTATTTTTTTGAGTCTAGGGCAATGTAAGACATGGCATTTTGTTGCAGTATATCAATAGAAAACTGAAAGAAACAGACATGCAAAAAATCCCTAAATGGATCAGTTAAAAAGGCTTTTTGATCTTAATAAACTTGACATTTATTTGGCAGAAATTTTATCTAAAATGGCCATTATTTTTCCCATTCATCCAACTTTAATATAAAATAAACAATTTTAATTTTTCCTGTGGTAATCAGGCATGAAGGAAAGAATGATGAAATCATTGAGAATACTAATAAAAACCTTTTAAAAACATGTTTATTATATGCCAGGGTCTACTAATCCCTTTATATATGTAATCTCACTAAATCCCCACAGGAAGATGAAATAAACCCTGTAAGTGTTCCCACTTTACAGATAAGAAAAATGAGGTAGAATCGTTTGTCTGAGGTCTCACAGGTAAAACAAACAGAAAAATGCTGTGAACCAGGCAAAGCCTCTTAGTTAGACTCTGAAGCTCCTGTTATTAACCACTACGTTGAATCAAAGATAGTAAGCAGTCAGATTTGTTTTCTTTTATCACATAGCTAATCAAGTGTGTGCTCTAGGATCAAATATTTCCAGATTGACTTGCTGAGATTTTGGCTGAATTCTTAAGCCTCTCTATGCTTGACATTCCTCATTTGTAAAAATACAGTCATTCCTGCCTCCTAGGATTAAAGTAAAGATTAAGCAAGCTAATGCCTATGGCGCCACAGGCATATGCTGTGCTCACAATGGTCAGTGAAGATTAGGCCACCCCTTCAGTGCTGGTGGAAGTCCTGGTGGCAGCTCAAGGGTCCAGGTGAAGAGTAGGAGTGAGAAGAAAAACCCACCTCACATGGGACAACCAGACTAGAAACATTCACGTAGCATCTACACTTGTCAGAATGGTGCCTCATTCTCCCCCAGCGTCAGCTTGGGTGTGTCTCTCAGTAAAACAGTAAGATGAATAGAGAGAATCTACGTAGAGACTCTTGGTGATGGATAGAAAGGACGGTTATGTCTGAGTTCTGGTTGCTTTAAAACTCTCTGGTTGGTTTGTCCTAAGGACAGTTACTTCCTCAAGTAGGATATCACGAATATGATTCCAATGTTCTGGTTAAGATACCTGACCAAGTCTGCAAGCTCCAAACAGATCAGTGGTGAACCTACTAAATTCTTTTTTCCCATGGAGGCATCTCAGGGGTGGGTGGGTGGGTTTGAATGGCTCACTAGGGTCTTATCATTGCTGAGAATGGGAAGGGTCTGTGTATCCCTTTCGACAGTGGCGAGACACAAGGATGACAGAGACCACCACCTCTGCCCCACCCCCTGTGCCCATGCCCACAACAAACATTGCTAATCAATGGTGTTATCCTCCATGCGTGGCCAAGACTTTGCCTCAGAATCATTTTCAAAACACCACTCCAGATAGCCATCGGGAATCAATCACAGTTCACCTGAGAGAGAACAGATATTTGTCATCTCTTTGGATGGCAAGAGTTGAAATCTCTTCAACTGCACAGAACTCAGGACATAATAAAACAGGCAAGTTTTCCCCCTAAAGTTTTCAACTCGGGATCATATTAGGATAAGACAATTGGAATCACTGACTACTCAGTGGCTTCTGTTAAGGGAGGGAGTGTGCAAGAGTTAGACTAGGTTATAAGACAGTAAAAATCATTCTCCACAGCTCAGGACAACACAACATAGGTGTACTTCTTGCACAATCTACATGTCTACTGAGGGTTGGCAAGGGGTGGACAGAAGCTT